TTCCTTTCTGTAGATGTGATGGACTTTATATAACTTCTTCAAGGCTGAATTTTTTTTTAAGAATTATGTTCATTTAATTCTATTTATTATTATTGATTTGTTATAGGCCATGTGTGCTCACCAGAGGGGGGTAGAGAAAGAGAAAGAGAGAGAGAGGGAGAGAGAGAGAAAGGGAGTAAGCAAGTCACCAGGTCCAGAACTCAAACCATGGTCATCCATGTGGGAATCCAGTGCCCCAGTGACTATGTTACATGCTGACCACTTGAGGCTGACTTTTTTTCCCCCAGACATAATATTCTTATAACTAATACTTGCTAGAAAATGCATTATTTACAATGACACCAACATTCATGGAGACCAAATATTACAGGCATAAGGGCACACTATGTCCACAAGATGTCTTTCCATTCTTCCCAAATAGTTTTATATTTTAGCTATGAAGTTCAGTTACCAGACCCAAGCTTGTTCTTAATAAGTGACATTTTTATGTCCATTCAATCAAAGGGTCTCTTACACCTCTCTGGGCCCACTCATGTGGAGACAGGAGTAGAAGCCGTAACCAGGTTCTTCATATCATGGATTTGCATGTGATGCCCAATCTTCATATGCTGTCCAATTTCTTTAAAGTAAAAGGAGTCGCAGCAGGGCCACGTAGACAAGGAAATTCTGTATGGAGGAGATCACGCCTTCGCGCATCTTCCGTTTCATCTCCTCCAGGTCCAGATTGGGCCCAAGGCCCCCTATCTGAAACATCACAGCTCTGCAACTCTTTCTTGAGCTCTCGGAGAGTGAATTCCATATGACTCTTTTATGATATCCTCCTTATTAGTTGTGCAATATTAGGTCATTAGAAAGTCATGGCATGTTTTTCTATGCAAAAATGCATCATGACTTTTCTGACAACCCAATAGCTACTTGTTTATATTTCTGTTACCTTCATTTTTCATTTGTTCTACTCTTTTATTATTACTTTTAATTTGCTATTAGACATGCACGCTCACTGGAGAGAGAGACAGAGAAAGAGGGAAAGCGAGAAAGCAAGCCACAGGTCTGGGACTTGAACCATCAACAGCCATGTGGGAAACCAGTGCTTGAACCACCACGCTACCCACAGGCCTCCTGTTTGTTCTGCTCTTACACAGTACAATTGGCTTTTTGCTGTACAGTCTATGAGTTATGACAAACATGTAGAGCTGTGTAATCACCACAGTAGATTCAGAACAGTTCCATCACCCCCCACATTCTCTTGTGGTGCCCTTTGTCCTGAACCCCTATGCCTGGCAGCCATTGACATGTTTCTGTTCCTGTAATTTTGCCTTTTTTAGAAAGTCATGTAAGTGATATCATGTATCGGGTAGCCTTTGAGTCTCCTCCATGTTGCTGCATTTATGGAATCTAGGTAATTTAATTCATCTTTATTTTTCCCTAACACTTGCCTAGCACAAAGCTAGTGTTGATAGTTGTGTTAGTAACTTTCATTGTAAGAGATCAAATGTCCTTTGGACACTCGATATTCTATTTTTTGAGAGGTTTTTGCTATAAAGCATGTACACTCACCAGAAAGAGAGACAGAGAGACAGAAAGCGAAAAACCAATCCCCAGGGGGGATGGCCACACCGCAATCCCTTCTCCTCTATTCTCCTCTTGGGATCTTGGGCATGCATGCACATGGGCCTGGCATGAGTTTAAGCCACTGGGTCCGGGACTTGAACTGCGGTCGACTACATGGGAGTCCAGTGACAGCCATTATGCTATCTGCTGGTCCTGACACTCATTTTTATCAAAATGTGCAATGGAATAGAGCCTCTTGAGGGTTGGTGGTTTTATTGATTTTGTGGTAATTCTCAACTTAGTATTTTCCTCATTTGCCTAGTCAAAAGAGTTGCCTGGAGTGTGTAATAAAAATACAGATTTTTTCAGACCTCTCCCCGGGAGAGTCTGAACAGAAGTCTGGGGACTCTATACCAGTGGTTCTTGAATTTTGCTTGTATTAATCACCTGGAAGGCTTGTTAAACCACCCAAGGCTAGTACCACCCCCCAGAGTTTTTGAGTCAGTAGGTCTGGAGTTTAAGAATTGGCATTTCTTTTTCTTTTTTGCTACAGGGCACGTGCGCTCTCCAGACAGACAGAGAGAGACATAGAGACAGAAAGCAAGAAATCACCCCCCCCAGGGGGGATGGCCACGCCGCAATCCCTTCTCCTCCATTCTCCTCTCGGGATCTTGGGCACGCACACACACGCGCCCAGCATGAGTTTTAAGCCACTGGGTCCGGGACGTGAACCGTGGTCGACTACGTGGGAGTCCAGCGACGTAGCCATCACGCTAACTGCTGGTCCCAGAACTGGCATTTCTAGCAAGTTTCTTCCAGCTGATACTAATGTTGTACTTTGGGCACCCCACTTTGAGAACCACTGATCTACAGGGTCTGTGCTATGGAGAGTACTTCAAGAAGTTCCTAGAAAAATCGAATTAAAGTATGAGCTTATTTTGGTCAAAAAATTGAAATCCATGCATTGTGTTTTCATATGCATTTTTCATGAGTATTTTGAAGCTTTCATTTTAAGTGTCTCAGGTGATTCTTTGTTTTCTTTTGAGAGATTTTTGCTATAGGGCATGTGCACTTTCTGGAGAGACAGAGAGACAGAAATTGAGAAACCACCTCCCGGGGGGATGGCCATGCAGCAATCCCTTTTCCTCCATTCTTCTCTCAGGGTTTTGGCCACGCATGGACACGCATCCAGTGTGAGTTTTAAGCCTCTGGGTCTGGGGCTCAAACCATGGTCCACCACGTGGGAATCCAGTGCCTTAACCACTACACCGCCTGCTGACCCCTCAGGTGATTCCAGCTTCAGTGTAGTTGATGTGGGAGGGAATATGTTATGTATTTTTTTTTTGTACCAAATATTATATTCAGGTCATGGTGCCAATCCCACTTCACCAGGGACAACAGGTTCAGTCTATGTGGACTTAAGAAGAAGAGAATGCCGGGAGGTGTTTGACTCAAACATTCTCCCCTTGGCAGGGAGACCAAGATGGAGCATGTGGCTTCTGTCTAGGATGACAATGACGGCTGCGTGCAAAGCCACTTCCAGTTCTTTCTAGCTCTTCACAGAGGCTCGAACAATGATGTGGCTGGAAACCGCGTGAATGTGCATGCGGCCTTAAAGGACACTAAAACGATTTAGGCCGGATTTAGACCCGGAGGGACAGTTCCTGTAGATGCTAGGATTAGTGGTAGCAGCTGTTGTGCTCCCCATTAGAGGAAACACTGAAGGGAGAAGAAAAGACTTTTGTTTAAAGGATGTGTCTTTGCAGCTCTGCGGGGACAAACCGTTCCATGCAGCCTGGAGGAAAGTGTGTTCCTAGGTAAGTGGATGTCTCTTCGGAATTCAGGTAGACCAGATGCTTGTGGGAAAGAAGGAACAGAGGGACTTAGGGCAGGGAGAGCGGGACTGGAGGCTGCGGCTGAGGTCTGTGAGACTCAGAGCTCCCTCCCCTTACTTCCTAGATACCAGATTCCATCTGCCTTGAGAAAAGAGACCACCGTGTGCCATCAACGGAGGCTCAAGGAGCATTTTCTAGGTGGCCCTTGTGAAAGGAATATGGCCCTCTACAGAATATGCGTCTACAGTTCATCATTCACTATCTCTTCCTGTGTCTGTGAAGCTGTAGGAATAAGCCCTTGAGATATAGAGGGTTTTGACCTTTAATGCCTCATGAAAAACTAGCATAGGAGAGGAAGGCATTGCCCAGTGGACTCCGCAAGTCTAAGACATTGGAGTTACAGGTGGTAGCTCTGTCTTCCTGGGTCTCATCAGTGCAAAGAGTGCTGGTAAAATGGCAGCGGGTGACACGTGATTATTTGGGTTATATGGATTATTTCCTTACTCTACTGCTTTTATAGCTAATTTTAGTGCATTTTTAGCATTTAAAAAAATCTTTTAGAATCAGCTTAGTAGAGGGGAACGCTGTTGTTGCCTTGCATCAAAATAGTAGCCAAACTTTTAAAATGCTTGAACATAGTATTATAAAAAGAAAAGCATAGAATTATTTTTTAAATGCCTGATACTTATTCAGCAAGTATTTCATCGACCTTACTTGCTGTCTCACACTTTATTTTTATCTGCCAATGTCCTCTACATTGTCAACTTTTAATTCTTTCTGTTGACAGGCTTTAGAGTTAGTAAGCAAAAATAAAATTTATTCTATGAATGTTATTTTATTGAATCATTGTATTCGTTTCCTGAGCCAAGGTTTTTTTTGTTGTTGTTGTTGTTGTTGTTTTTTACTAGCGTAGGTAACAAGGTATAACTGAATCAGCTTGGGTGTATGCGTCATCTCATCTTCTTTGGTAAAAGCAAAGAAAAAACTCAAAACAGCAGGAAGGACAAGGAGAAATCAAAGCATAGCAAACTTAACAATCGCCTCTAAGTCACTGAACATTGGCAGAGGTCTCCTCGCATTTAGCTGTGAATTGCAGCAGGAGAAATACAGATGCCTGTCCAAGGCACCATCAGCCATGCTGCCCAGCCATGCTGCCCAGCCATGCTGGGAGATCGGGTGTCAACCTCAGCGATAATTCATTACTGGCTCCCACCGCCCTTAGAGAATTTCAAAGGAGTTTGCATTAAGATACAAATGTTTTCTGGTCTTACTTTTTTGACTTAATAATTAAAGCCTCTCTCTTTTGCTTTTATTTTTTTTTTAAGGTTTTTGCCAGAGGGCACGTATGCCAGACTGATTTTTGTTTGTTTGTTTTAAGAGAGGCTTTAAGGGTCATCAGGTGGGGTGTAGTTAAGGTGCGGGACTCCCACATGGCTGTTGTTTGAGCCCTGGACCCGACGGCTTAAAAATCAAGCTGGGCCGGTGTGTCTGCGGGCCCAAGATCCCAGGAGAAGAATGGAGGAGAAAGGATTGCAGAATGGCCATCCCCCCCTAGGGGATGATTTCTCTCTCTCTCTCTGTTTTTCTCTCTCTCTCTCTGCAGGAAACAGCAGGATGACCGTCCAGGCTGCCTTCACAGGCTGGGCTTGTACCACCCTCTGCCTGGCTTCCTGCTCGTCCGCCTTCTCCCACGGCGCCAGTACGGTGGCCTGTGAGGACATGCAGCCCAGGCACATTCTAGCCCAGCCTCAGGACCCCGGGACCCACCACATCACCATCCACACCAGCAGGTCTTCCTACTCGCCAGGTGAAGAGGTTCCAGGTAAGTACGAGAGAGCCTTGGAGGGACGCCCAGGAGCCCTAGGGCCCAAGTGGGATCTTCCAAGTTGCATTTGTTCCAGGCAGGAATTTCCTGGGCCACTTTGGCTTCATGCTAAGAAGCAAAAATAAGCATGAAATATTTGTGTCATGAAAATCATGTGACAACTAATCTCTGTATTGATAATTAGCTTTGCTAGAGAAAAGGGCACAAATGACATTATTATAAGAAATTATCTGCCCTTATCATAATATTATATATCTATCATAAGATATATCTTATCAGGGAACCAGCAGTTAGGGTTATGAGTATGTTGCTGGACTCCCACGTAGTCGACCGCTGTTCGCGTCCCGGACCCGGTGGCTTAGAACTCACGCCAGGCACATGTGTGTGCGTGCCCAAGATCCCGAGAGGAGAATGGAGGAGAAGGGATTGCGGCGTGACCATCCCCCTTGGGGGGTGATTTCTTGCTTTCTGTCTCTATGTCTCTCTCTGTCTGTCTGGCAAGTGCACACGCCCTATAGCGAAAACCTCTCCAAAAAAAAAAAAAAAAGAAAGAAAGAAAGAAAGAAAATCATGCTGGGGACAGTGCATGTGTGCCCAAAGTCCCCGGAGAAGAAAGGATTGCAGCATGGCCATCTCCTCTTGGGGGGGGGGTGATTTTTCACTTTTCCTCTCTTTGTCTCTCTCAGGTGAGTGCCCATACCTAAAATTCTTTTTTAATTAAAAATAATAAATATAGTTTATCTGCCGATGGACATTTTGGTGAGATGGTGGATATGTTAACTTGCTTGACTATAGTAATCATTTCACTACGTATGTCAAAACATCATGTTGTACCCCTTAAAAATGTACAGTAAATTAAAAAAAAAAACTGAAATTATTAGGGGAATGAAAAGAACATTTCCTGCTCTTTTAGTTTAGGATCCCATAAAGGCAGAGAGAGAACTTGAGTGTGGGGAGTTTAGGTGGGAGCTAACCCTAGGACAGAGGTGAGGGACAGTGGAGGAGACCTAGGGACGAGGCAGATGCCGGGAGAGAGTGTGAAAGGCAGCAGCTCACTCATGCCAGGGCACCTGGGTCTCCTTCTAATGAGGAACTCCTGAGAAACCATGTGAAACACACCTGAAGTCGTCCCTCGGGAGGCTGGAGTGAGAGGCGGTGGCAGCCAGGGACAGCAGAGAAGAAAGCTACAGGTGTTCCACGTGGCAGCTGGGTGCAGGCAGAAAACTGCGGCCACTGGTGGACTCCAATTCAGCTGCAGCTTTCGCTCCACCCTTTTTAAATGTTAATATCTTTTTCTTCTAGATTATTGAAGGATGTGTGTGTTCACCAGAGAGAGACAGAGAGACAGGGAGAGGGAGGAAGCATCTCCAGTGGGGTGTGGTCATGCCACAATCTCTTCTGCTACATTTATCCGTCCCGTTAGGATTTGGGGCATGCACATAGTCCTAGAATTTTTATTTTTAAATTTATTTTAGGTTTTTGTTTTAGGGCATGTGCACTTGCCAGAGAGAGTCAGAGAACAAGCAAGAAATCACCCCCTAGAGGGCATGGCCACACTGCAATCCCTCCTCTTGAGATTTTGGGCACACACACATGCCCAGTATTATTTTCAAGCTGCCAGGTCCAGGACTTGAACCATGTCGGCCATCTGGGAGTCCAGCACTTTAACCACGATGCCTCTTGCTGGCCTCAACCCAGAATGTTTTTCAAGCTCCTGTGGTTGGGATTTGAGCCATGCATTCAGCCATGGGGCATCTGGCTCCCTGAACCACTAGTCTATGTGGCTGGCTCTGTTCATTCTTTTAATGGAAAAGAGAGGTATGAATGAAAATGAAATTTACTCCATAAATATGGTTTTACCCAATAATTTTGTTCTACTACTAAGTGTGAAAAAATGTGTGGGGGGGTGGGAGCAGCTAGGTGATACAGAGGCTAAAGTGGCTGGATCCCTCAGGGCCAGCAGCACTGTCAGAGTCCCAGACCTGGCGATTTGAAAAGCACATAGGCCTGGCAGCCAGGACTCAAACCCGTGGCCGGCCATATGGGATCCGGCTGGCCTTACCACTAGACTATGGGTCTGACTCTGGATTTTTTTTTTTTTTTTAAATAGACTGAACTTTATTCATCTTTTCCTCTATGGCAACTTTTGCTTAGGGAGGCATTCCTAACACCAATATTTTAAAAAAAGACAAAAAATTACTTGTAGATGTTTTGCATTTTATTTTTACGTACATTTGATCCAATGGAATTAATTTTGGTGGAAACAGAACTTTAATTTACCTACTCACCCCACCCCCAAGAATTGTGCCCTTTTGCAGGGGGGGCTGGCCTGACGCTTCTAGCGGGAACGCCCCTGGCCACAGGCGGCGCTCAGGCCAGCCCGCTCACCCTGCATGGCCGTTCCCTTGCAGTGACTGTGAGGAGCAGCCGCGATTTCATGGGCTTCCTGCTTCAGGCCTGGAGCGTGTCTCATCACCGAACGGCTGGCACTTTTGTGCTCATTCCTCCTCGTTCCAAACTGATGACTTGTTTTGAAGAGGCGGATGCGGTCACCCACTCGGACAAGTCCCGGAGGAGAAGCCTGGCATTTGTGTGGAAGGCCCCTGCCCGGCCGGTGGGGGGCATCAGATTCCTGTAAGAGGGTGGAGTACTGAGTAATGACTACTGAGTACTGAGTACTGTTTCTTAGTAACCGAGGCTTCTGGTCTGAAGGGCAGGAGTTTCTCTTTCATTTTCCTTCAGATTCTCTGTCCCTTCCTCCTTTTTTTTTCTTAAGAGAGGTTTTTGTTTGTTTTTGCTATAGTGCAAGTAAGCTCACCAGAGAGAGACAGCGAGGAGAAATCACCCCCCAGGGGGATGGCTTTGCTGCAATTTCTTCTTCATTCTTCTTGCAGGATTTTGGGCAAGTGTGATTTTCAAGCCATTGGGAGCAGGACTTGAACCATTATTGGCCATGTGGGAGTCCAGCACCTTAACTGCCACCCGCTGGTCCCCCTTCCTCCTTCTTAAAGAGCCACTTTATAACTAGGACAAGGTCACTGGAGCTGCCTGAGCTAGAGTACCTATGCAGTGGGGAACTAAAAAAAAAAAAAAAAAAAAAAACACCCCAAAGCTTTCCCTCTGCCATTGTCCATGGCCCGGAGTGATAGTCCCCATCCTCCCTGGGGAATTGTGGTCCACCTATCCAGGACATGCTCAATAGAGCTGGTGGGAGACAGCCCAGACAGAGAGAGGCACATGGACAAAAGGACCTTCCCTGGGCCCAGGGAGAGCACTGGTCTCTGTGCCTCGACTCGTTCATCAAATGGGTGTAACGTTGGCATCTGCTTCAGAGTGGTGTGAGGATGGCAGAGCCGGTCCCCGTGAAGCGCCCACAGCAGTCTCTGGGTCTCTGAAGAGTTCTCTGAACATGTAGTATTATGAGAAGATTAGGGCTGGATCTCCAAGTCTTTTGTACCAAAAGAAATTCGTCTCATAATTGTCTTTCCACCCATGTCTGTGAAGTCCTCTCCTTCTAAGCTTTATAATTACTACAAAATGAGATACAAGTTTAGTCATTCTTTTTGGGCACTTGTATATACCAAGGAAGAGAATTTCTTTCGAAGGTTGTGTCTACCCCTCAGTGTCTTTTGCCCACACCTTGCCCGGGTGGGAGGCCAGTCTCCACAGTCCTGCCCTCCAGGTGTCCCCTTTGCAATGGGGAGTCATGAGATGAACGGCCCCACAGGGTCCTTTCTCCATCCCTGGAGGGTAGCCCAGTGCCTCAGATAGGACTAAGAAAGAAGTCACCATGACGCCCTCATGATGCGGCCCATTGGCATGGCCAGTGCCCACCTCCCCCTTGGTGCCACCCAACCTCTGCCCACCCCTTGGTTCTCATCCAGTGCTGAGAGTGTCCGTTGTCTGACAGCCTTAGATATGTCCACTGCTTTTATTCCTATAAACACCTCCATTCCTATTCTTGTCTTATTTTATTTTTAAAAATTATACCAGAGGGCGTATGTGCTTGCCAAAGAGAGAGACAGAGGGAACAGGGAGAAAGCACCCACCGATGGGATGTGGTTACACCACACATCCCTTCTCCTCTATCTCTCTAATCCCATTGGGGTTTGGGGCACACATGCACACATGTCCAACATGTTTTTCAAGCTTCTGGGGCTGGGACTCAAACTTCCTTCAGCCATGTGGGATCTGCCTCCCTCAACCACCAGGCCACAAGGCCAACTCCATTCCTATTTTTGGATTTACCATTATGGCTGAAATGTCTACACGGAAGGCAGTTTAGAAGCTATTAGCTCCACTTGACAGGAAAGGAAGCTAAGTCACTCGGTCAGAAACCTCTCTGCAGGTCACACTGGGCTCCTTCACCTCCCAGAGTCCTTGCTACCATCCGTCAGCTAAGCCTGGAAACCCTGCGTTCCAGGCCTGAGCTATGACCTCACTCATATATTGATGCTCTGGAAAAGTGAGACTTGCCAGTAATCCCTACCTAGAGAAATCTGGGGCTGGATAAATGATATAACGTTTGGGTGAGGAAAAGATGTATTTAAAATAGTTCTTAGTGGCCAGGTGGTGGCACAGCAATGATACACCTGGACCATGTGCGAGAGGTCCTGGTTTGGGTCCTGGGACCTCACCGAGCATGCTGCCTCTGTGCACAGTGTCCCTGACCCAAGACTTTCTGGGGCTGTGGGTGGGGCCCAGTGTGAAGCTCTGTTGAGGGCACCCATCTCACTCTCTCTCTCTCTCTCTGTCTCTCTCTCTCATGGAATAAATAAATAAGTTTAAAAACCATTATTTAGAATATTAATGTTTTCTTTCTAATTTTCAATAGAATCTATGATTGCATTAACATTGGACAATAGAATTCTAAAATCTTCCATTAACAAGGTAATTAATGGGCCAGCCAGTGGCATGGTGGTTCAGGTGGCTGGATCTGACTTGGCCAACTATGCAGTTGGAATCTCAAACCCAGTAGCTTGAAAAATATACTGAGCATATGTGCACACCCCCAAAATACTGAGAGAAAACAGGGAGGAGAAGGGATTGAGGTGTGGTCAGCCCTCCTGGCAGGTGCTTTCTCACTTTCCTTTTCTGTCTCTCCTGTGTACTCCCCCCCTAGCAAATTGAACAAACAGTATCATTAATAGTATATCAGTAATGGTTAATAACAAAGTTGAAGATGAAATCTTTTATTTGAGTCTAAATGGTTCAAGAAGACACCCTTTTCCTTCTTTCATTTTTCGTTTTTACTCAAAATGAATTTATGTGTGTGTGGTCTGCATTTGTGTGTGTGTGTGTGTCTGTGTGATCTTGTAGAAAGGTCTCTCTGTGTTGTGATCCT